AGAACATTTGACGCTGCTTTCTCTATAGTTGCATTGTGTGTACACAAAAGTCAATGTTCCGTAGACCTGCCAAAGTCTCATGGTGAGCGGGCTGCAGGGATTACTGAGATTTTGTAGGGGTTATGTAGGAGCGACAAGTAAAACTGATAGTCTGGGGCGTAGAAGTTGGGGAAGTATCCGGCTGGACTGGAGTTCAAGCTCAGGAACTTATCGGTATCCAGGGATGTCGTTTTCGGTGGCAATGCTCCCCCTAGACACCCTCGGCACGCCTCAAATAGTTAATTTGTCACCCCAACATGCACATGGGGTCATATAGGGAGCATTACCCTAAACCCTCAAAACATGATAGATTTAACGGGACCGAAAAGATTGCAGGTCTTACTGGTATCCTTGCGGCCCACCCTTACAGAGCTCCAAGCAAGGTCAGAATCATCAAACTTTTGGAAGCAGTAGGAGACTCCCCAGAAAGATATGGGGTCCTTCAGTCATTCTTGGTAAGAACTTGAAGTCAAGAGTAATTATGGGGCCTTAATTTCAGAGTGTTCCTACACTCCTCAGATTCCCTTTACATGGCCATCCGACAGAGCCACGAGTTGGGCCAAATGGACATTTCTCAAATTGACCCCCCCGTAGTTTCCTTGGTCCCAATGGCAAGCGTTCCTAAACCCTAAACCCTGAACTAAACTTCTAGACATTCCTCAGGGCCCCTTTCCTGAGAAATCCCCACGCTGCGCCCTTATGAAACGGAAAGTTAGCCTACAGCCTAAACCCCAAACTCGGAACTCTAAACTCCCAACTCTGAAATTTGGAAGGGTCCCAATTATTCAATACCCCTGAACCCTAAACCCTAACCTCCCAAAACCCTAAACTCTCATTCCCCTAGTTTCCCTAAGCCCCTAAAACCCTACCTAAACCCTGAAGAATTGGCCTTAAAAGGAGATTTCGGCGGACGATGCTGCGGCTTCAGATTCCTCAGACTGGGAGGCCAACCTTCGGGGTGTAGGAGTTTAGGGGTTTAAGAGACTGATCATGAGGGTTTAAGGATTTAGGGGTCTGGGGTTTAGGGATTTAGGGGCTTAGGGTTTTAGAGGTTTAGGGGTCTAGGGTTTTGGGTTTTAGAGGTTTAGGGGTCTAGGGTTTAGGGTTTTGGGGCTTAGGGTCTAAGGGTTTAGGGTTTAGGGGCTTAGGGTCTAAGGGTTTAGGGTTTAGGGGCTCAGGGTTTAGGGTTTTAGGGGTTTAGGATCTAGGGGTTTAGGGGTTTAGGGGTCTAGGGGTTTAGGGTTTATTTGGGGTTTGCGAGTTGGGGGGTTTTAGGGTTCATGGTTTACTTGATCGGTGTACCGCAATATACCTGCAAAAATACTTGGCGTTGTACCTTCTGCTTTGGTATCTTGACATTTGCCTTTTCCGGGTATCACCATACTTCAAGATAATACAGGGATAGCTCCCGGTTCTATGTCAATGCCCATTTAGTTGTCCATGTGATTCTGCATTGCTAAATTCGTAATATGAAGATATACTCCAAAAAGCACCTCGACTCCGAACCCATCACCCTAAACCCTCAACCTTGGGTACTGCCCCACTCTGTAACAGTTGGATGGCAATTCTAATATGGTTGCATGTAGCCCTTAATAGGACCCCTAATGTAGACTGTTACTGGGTGGGGGCAGTACCCAACCTCAACCCCAAATCCTAAACCCTATACCCTAAATCCTAAACCCCAAATCCTAAACCCTAAACCCTCAAACCCAAACCTCGAACCCTAAACCCCCAAACCCTAAACCCCAAACCCCAAACCCTAAACCCTCAAACCGAAACCTCGAGCCCAAGCCCTAAACCCTAAACCCTCAACCCCAAATCCTAAACCCTCAAACCCAAACCTCGAACCCCAAGGCCCTGAACCCAGCCTCGAGGTGCTAACAGCGACGCCCCCTTCCGACCATTCCAAAGCCAGGCAAACGGACACTCGTCCCCAGAGTTTAGGGGTTCCTATCTCCCGACTAGGTCCCTTTAAAGGGGGTTCTAGGGGTTTTATAGGGACATGTAGGGATCAAGGAATGAAATAATGGAAGAAAAGAAGCTGGACATTGCTATTAGATGGGGACTGCAATGCGGATCTATTCCGTCCTGCCTTGCGAGTCAGCGTAAGGTTCGTCCTCGAGGGTTTGGGCTTGACCTACCCTAAACCCTAGACAGTCTTGAGACCATGTTTGGCTTGTTTTCGGGGTCCAGGTATTCAGGCTTCAGGTTAGTAAGGATTTGGGGGTTGCAAAAATTACGAATCAGTGGGGCAATAGCAACCATACCCCTTTTTTCATCATCTTGAATTTAGAGAAACCCTAAACCCCAAACCCCCTAAACCCTAAACCCTAAACCTTCCTAGACCCTAGTCTGCCACCCCGAAGCTCACAGCCTCCCCCTAGGGACGGGACCCCGGCTGCCGTAGGGATACCTCGCTGGGATTTGGATTTAGGGGTGGTAGGGTTTTAGGGTTTAG